TTTTTCACAATATTTACTTGGAACTTCAATACCACACTGTAATCACAACCCCACTTACCAAAAGTTTCCTTTGCTAATTCAAGGTCTGACTCCTCCTGTAACTTTTTTAGCCGCAGTTTATCTGCTAACTGTTCTTCCGGTGTTAGCACTTTAGGTTCTTCAGGTTCTTCTAACTAAAATCAGACAGAAAGTTTTATTTTTTTAATTTTTATTTTATTATTATTTTTTAACATTTTTTATTGATTTATAATCATTTTACAATGTTGTGTCAAATTCCAGTACAGAGCACAATTTTTCAGTTATACATGAACATACATATATTCATTGTCACAAAAAGGACTGGGACTGTAATGGGCCCAGTATATTTCTGTGTGGTATGAACTTTTTTCCTAAATACATGTAATTATAAATAATAAACAAACACTTAGAAAGTATTTACTGTATTTCAAGCATTCTTCTAAACACTTTAGATACTCATATCCCAATTTTACAGGAAAAAAACCTGAGGTGTGAAGCAACCTGCCCATGGTATCAGGTTAACATAGACGATAATGTGACAGAGTTGAGATCTGAAAGCTGGGTTTAATTTATGGTAATTTTTTTAAATTAAGGAAATGAGATTGTAGATAATGTAAAATGGCACTTTCATATACTTTGGCTAAGACTGTGTATTAAAACCACCTTTCTAGGGTAACTTGGTAGTATGCATCAAGTCTTGAAATAGTCCTATATGCTTTAATCAAATAATTCCACTTCTACATATTCATCTTAAGAAACCAAAGATCTGTACAAATATTTAACCAAAAGGATGTCAAATGGAATATTACTCATAATATCAAATAAATTTAGAGACAACCTAATTGCTCTGTAACAGAATGGTTAAATACAGTATGGCACGAGCCATATGACAGTGCAGACATAAAAAAAAAATGTTTTTTGTGGGGAGGGAGGGTGTAGCCTAGTGGCAGAGTGCCTGCCTAGCATGTACAAGGTCCTGGGTTCAATCCTCAGCACCTCCACTAAAATAAATAAAATAAAAAACTTTTTTAAAAACATGTTTTCTCCCAAAGAATTGGAAAAACATTTCCCCCTTATTTATCTTATTCGTATTATATTTTAGTATTATAAAAATAACAAAAAAAAAACACATTATACTGTTCACATACAAAGGAAAAATTGTCACGTATTTCCCAATCCCACTTATCTGAGATGACAGTTAACAGTTTAATGTATATCATTTTTATATCCTGATATAACTTTCTACAACAAATATGTATTACTTTTACTACAAGGGAATATATTTGATAATATTTATCAAAGTGGGAAAATGGTGAAGGGAATTTGTGCCATTCATGGTTATCCATGCCTGTGCAATTTGAAGATTTTGATTCAGAAGTCTACTTCTGAAATAGATCACATTTCTCACGGAGAAGATGAAATGAGAAAGATCATGCAGTTATGAAGTCTCAGAACACTTTTTACAAAGAAAAAAGGAAACTGTCTCAACTGTCTTAGACCTGAACATCATTACGTATTTCCTGCAAACAAAACTGAGTATGTCTTTTTTTTTTTAACTGGAAATGTCTTAACTCAACAGTTGGCCTAAGATAAAATTAGTTCACTCTAAAGTTTCTTTATGTTGGAGACTAATATCAAGATACAACAAAGTAAGTGGTAATTCTAACCTCAATGACCAAGAAAGATCCAATCAATACAACTTCTTAGACTGAGCTGAAGGATCCATTGCTTGTTGTGATCATGTAAACACATATGCAGATATTTTTAGATATACAAATACAAATTATTAAAAAGCATCTAAAATGTTCCTGACTAGGGGGAAATATACACTCTTACCCATGGCTGGCCAATGCAAACTGATACAACCCAATCAGGAGGGCAATTTGGGAATATTTATCAAGACTACAAATGTGATTTGTCCTTTGACCCAGCAATCTCACATTTGGAAATTTATCCCTAAAAATATGG